TAATATTTCGTTGGACCAACTTTAGCTTTTGATTACGGCACACATGCTCTGTGGCATTGTTTCAATAAGCTTCTGCAATGCCACAAGATTTATTTCCATCCAGTGTTACATTTATTTTTTACCAAGATCTTGTACTGATGATGGTAGAATCTGACTGCTGCCCAAAGCCTTCTCCAGCACATCCCAAAGATACTCAGCGAACTCTGTAGAGCCAACCCATGTGTGAAAATAATGTCTCATCTTATGTGATTATCATTACAGCCATCACTATATAGGTAGCATCAAGGTTGCCAGAAGGACAAAATCAGGTCAAAAATCAGCATGACTATCTTACTGTGTAAACCAGGAATCAGGTGGTATCTCACTAAGCTGCTACTGTTAGAGACAAACTGGTGACTCAAATAAAAAAAAGTAGAAGAAAATTTCAGTTCTTGTAATTCTGAGTGTTCATGAACTGCGTGGTCATGCCTTGAATGACCGATTTTAGAAAATCTCAGCCTGTTTTTTTTGTGCACAGCTTGTAAAACTATATTATAGGCCGTGCACGTTATCTATTTTCCACCTCGGCCCACAATGTGACAGACTGGTGACCTGGCCAGGGTGTGCCCCACCTTTCACCGAATGATCTGTGGACTCAAATCTGTATGAATCGAATGAAAACAGCAGCAAAATAAAAAGGGAGGAGGCCCCGAGGAAGACCCAGGACACGCTGGAGGGACTATGTCTCTCGGCTGGCCTGGGAACGCCTTGGAGTTCCCCCGGAGGAGCTGGAAGAAGTGGCTGGGGAAAGGGAGGTCTGGGCCTCCCTTCTGAAGCTGCTGCCCCCGCGACCCGACCCCGGATAGGCGGAAGAAAATGGATGGATGGATGGATAAATGTATGTTTAATTTAAAAACAGATTTTTTTCCAAAATAGCTTAGTCTCTATTATTTTGTTTTCCAGATTTTTGATTGACATTAAACTCTAGTTATATAACATACATTACCTGTTAGAATCACAAGAACTGATGCAATCCATCCAAACTTCATTGTGATATTATATAAACCTGCAAAATCAAACAATGGTTTTATTTACATGAGTTGCATTTAAAATGTTTTTACATTGATCATCAAATTCATTTTTGCCTATGTTTAAATGTTGGAAGATTTTGGGCAAAAGAATTCAAAATTAGCAATTTTGAGACAGGTTTACAAGATTGTTTGGTGATGATGGGTATTTTCATCAACTTTTCATTGACTGGATGAGTTGCAATTATTACCATGATGAAGTATTTATAGAATGATGGAATCTGTACTGAGATGCCCTGCTGGCTGGTGTTCCACTCCTAGATCCAAAATCTTGATGACCATTGTTTCCCAAGAAAAACAAAACCTCTTTGACCACTACCAGATGGCTTCTCTTCCACAAAAGAAGCCATTTCTTCCAATTTTGTGTGTCTATCGAAATAGACACAGCCGTTTGCACAATCATGTCAAAGTCCTGCTCCTGATAATTATTTAATGTCGATGTATTAAAATACTCTCGGACAGCTTTTTTCTCGTAATATTATGACTTTATTCTCACACTTTAAAAGAATCTCTCAGTCTAATCATAATACTCATATTAAACCATTTGCATGACAAGAGAAAACTTTCCAAAAAGTGTAATAAACAATTAGACCTTAACGATGAACAAAATAACAATACCTGTTGATGTCAGTCAGATGTGCAGCTTCCTTTGGTCTGTTGTCTTGTGAAACGATGGTGAAATGTACTTTCAACACTTTAAATATGCCTTCCTAATACATTAGCCAGACAAAAATAAATATTTCTGCCTGCAGCCAATATTCAAAAAACGTATCGTAAGTCACACAACAATATTTGAATACTGAATCGCCTTCAGGCCCATGACCATCTGGTGATGGAGCAAGCTAAAGCTCAACTTCATGAACATTCTGGTTGAATTTATTAACATTTATGTCACAAATAAAAGGTAACTTTAATCAAGTCATCTAATATTATTCAATAACTGACTGTACCTTTGACTATGCTTTATATTTGTCTTTACAGTGTCTGGCGAGTTCTGTTTTCTATTTGGAAACTTGTGACAAAAAGAAAAAAAGTTTTTATGTTTATTTAGTTGTACAAAAAAGGATGATTATCCTTATCCATTTTGATAAAAGGAATTCACAGGGCACTGTAAAACTGAGATAATGGTACTCAAAACATGAAATAATATTTAGATTAAATAATATGTTGTATATATGTATGTATCGTTTTGCTTTGCAAAAATTTGTTGACTTTGCTTTTAGTCCTTTTGCAATTGCAAAGGTGAATGTAATGAAGCTGAAATGCAGAAGGACTTGTCAGGAGAAATAACAAGAGCTTCTTGGAAAATCCAAACATAGGAGGACTTATTTTGCATTTTGTTTTGCATGATGATTTGAATGCTTTAAGCCTTATTGTGTTCAGGGAAGCAGCTGTTGTATCTTCCAAACAAGACTGTATTGTTTCATTTTTCTATTAAAACTTTTTTGTGGCCACAGAGCTAAAAAATAAAGACTCTAAATAAATTAGAAGATAGCACTATTGGAAGGGATGCATGWTGCCTTCCACCTTTCTTCCCAGAGTTTTAACTATGTTTATCATATACTAAGAAATTGAAAGCAGTTTTGTTTAAACCTTGAAAACTATTATGCAAGGTCCTACAGTTAGGTCCATACAGTATATATTTGGAAACTGACACACATTTTGTCTTTTTACCTGTTTACTGAAACTTATTCAAGTTATGGTTATATAATGTACATGGACATAAAGTCCAGACATTCAGCTTTCATTTGAGGGTATCCACATTAAAATTGGATGAAGGGTTTAGGAGGTTCATGTGCCACCCTGTTTTTAAAGGGACCAAAAGTAATTGGACAATTGACTCCAAGGCTATTTCATGGAAAGCTGTGGACTATCCCTTCATTATGTCATTCTCAATGAAGCAGATAAAAGGCCTGGAGTTGATTTGAGTTTGGTGCTTGCATTTGGAAAGTTTTGCTGTGAAGTAAACAAGCGGTCAAAGGAGCGCTCCATGCAGGTGAAACAAGCCATACTTAAGCTGCAAAAACAAAACAAAACAAAACAAAACAAAACAAAAACCCATCTGAGAATTGCTACAATATTAGGAGTGGCAAAATCTACAGTTTTTTACATCGAAAGAAAGAAAGAAAGAAAGAAAGAAAGAAAGAAAGAAAGAAAGAAAGAAAGAAAGAAAGAAAGAAAGAAAGAAAGAAAGAAAGAAAGCACTGGTGAACTCATCAATGCATAAAGAGCTGGGCGCCCACAGAAGACAACAGTGATGATCGCAGAATAATCTCCATGGTGAAGAGAAAGCCCTTCACAACAGCCAACCAAGTGAACAACACTCTCCAGGAGGCAGACGTATCAATATCCAAATCTACCATAAAGAGAAGACTGCATGAAAGTAAATACAGAGGGTTCACTGCACACTGCAAGACACTCATAAGCATCAAGAATAAAAAAGCTAGACTGGACTTTGCTAAAAAAACATCTAAAAAAGCAGCAGAGTTCTGGAAGAACATTCTTTGGACAGATGAAACCAAGATCAACCTCTACCAGAAGGATGGAAAGAGAAAAGTATGGTGAAGGCGTGGTACAGCTCATGACCCAAAGCACCACATCATCTGTAAAACACAGCAGAGCAGTGTGATGGCTTGGGCATGGCTGCCAGTGGCACTGGGTAACTAGTGTTTATTAATGATGTGACACAGGACAGTTCCTCACATTTTAATGCAATCATATTGTTCAACCCAATGAATTAAAGCTGAATGTCTGAACTTCAACTGCATCTGAATTGTTTTGTTTAAAATTCATTGTGGTAATGTCTAAAACCAAAATTAGAAAAATTTTGTCTCTGTACAAATATATATGAACMTAACTGTATATGAGATCTGTTTATGGCTCAGCGTGTGTGTCAAGGACGTCAGAAAAACACTAGATTTTAGTTTATTAACTGTAAAAGTGATGACAAAATCTACAGCCCCTTAGACAGCACAATTTGATGCTATTGCCTTTTTGAGTTTAATTATCCTTCTTATTTTTCCTGTTTTTCTTTGCTTTTATTTGTTAAGTACGTGCTTTCAAATTGTTATCAGTTCTAAAATCTTTGCCATTTTGTTTGTTTTGTACTTTCAGAATTAAAAAAAAAGGTTAAAAAACTGTAAAAGTATCTGGGTTACAGCCATTTTTGGGTTTTCTAGTGTCAGCTGGCTGCAGCAGCCATCTTGAGTTAATGTTAACCAGTTGTAGTGGATAGGTCTGGAAGCCGGAGGTGGGCGGGGCTTGAAGCRAAGGATTTAAAAGCATATGTCCACTTTAACGGCAACACTTTTTGAGACCAGCACCTAATGAAGATGATTTAATTCGGAGATGTATACGAAGTGGAACAAACAAAAAAATTAAATAAAATTTAGTTGGAGACACTGAGACAAAACTTGGGGTGAGAGTGACTTAATAAAAAGGTGTCATAACAACTCATGGTCATGGTTTGTTGTAGTTGGACTCAGAAATGCAAACAAACACGAGGAAGCTCAATTTAAAATGAAAGTTTTATTAAAGAGAAACTAAAACGACTGACATGGCAGCTAAAACTTTACAAGAACAGTTAGGAGCCACAGAGTAGAAGCAGCTACTGTGGTTGTGAACCACTGGTGCCCAATCCAAAGCTGATGAGATGATTAGCTGTAGCTGTGACCGATGAGACAGGGAACAGGTGTAACTGATGGAAGCAGAAACTTAACTGAGGGAGTGGTTGTGAATACAGAAGAACACAGGTAGGAGAATGAACAAAGTAACACAATGAAAACAGAAAAATACAACAAACTAACAGATCCAAACTTAAGCGAACTGTTTAATGATATTTTTCCTGCTGATAATGTAGTTTATTTCTCACACACTGTCTAATGTTTGACTTTATGAGTTAACTTTAACCTACAGTAAAAATGACAAAATCTGTAAGCAGTTTATGCATCTAATATGATAAAGTCAAATAGTAATAAAACATTTCTGCTAATTTCATTTTAGTTTGTTTCTTCATTCTTCCCTTTGATTGGCTTTTTAAAATTTGCTTTGAGAATTTTACACAAAATACAAAAAGTGCCTTTTCAACTTAACAGGCAAAAAATGGGGTGTCCAAATATTAAATAATTTCACTAACATATATTTAATTTCTGAGTGTTAAAATTTTTCCTATTACCTTTTATAGTTATTTAGTTCATTCACTGTTCTTACATTTAGCTAATTGTTACTAAATGTTTAATTCAAAAATATATTTAAATATTAAATCCTAAATCTAAATGTGCAAATCTAAATGCAAATCTTAAATGTTGAAATTAAATGTTGAATTCCACGTTAGGTATTTTGGAATGGAGCACAGCCTTTGTTGTTGGTGCTTTACCCATGGTATGACTGCTAGCGCTCCAGTGCCGCWAAAGTTACCCTATAAGACATCAAACTTGAAACTACATCCGGTGTCTGAGCTGCTCTAAAAACTGCTGAACCAAAGGTACCACCCATAGTTTCTTTTGAACACATTTTGATTGTAGATATTAAATGTCATCTCCAGCAGTGTAAGCACCATTAGCAGCAGCTAGTTGACGCTGGTCCACTTGGTGCATACAAAAATAGATAATCTGGATCTTTTGAATTGGGATTCTGTGGAAAGGTTTTCAACTGTAACTTTTTCACTGTTTTAGATTGTGATTTTAAACAACCTCGCTTTGGAGAAATGGAATATAATTCTGACCAGTTTTGACAACCTAACATCTAGCTTATATGGGCCAAAACTAAAGCCAATTTAAAAAAAATTGCTAAACCTATACTTGTCTTTACAGTGCATAAAAACCAATCACATTAATAAAGACGTCACTGTTGRCTTGACAGCAACCATGAAAACACCGCCATGCAGGATGCAACAAGCAGACCGATCTTGTGTCTCGGAGCAGCGCTGGTTGTAGTTGAGACATCTGGAGTCATCGTTGGAACATCTGGGGTTGTTGCTGGAGCGGTTTCAGCTGTTGATGGAGCACCCATATTTGTTGCTGAAGTTGCAGTTGTTGCTGAAGTAGTTGCAGTTGTTGCTTGAGTGGTTGCAGTTGTTGCTCGAGTGGTTGCAGTTGTCGATGAAGTGGTTGCAGTTGTTGCTCGAGTGGTTGCAGTTGATGAAGTGGTCGCAGTTGTTGCTCGGGTGGTTGCAGTTGATGAAGTGGTTGCAGTTGTCGATGAAGTGGTTGCAATTGTTGCTCGAGTGGTTGCAGTTGATGAAGTGGTTGCAGTTGTTGATGGAGTGGTTACAGTGTTTGATGGAGTGGCTGCAGTTGTTGATGAATCATTTGTAGTTATTGCTGGATTAGCCGTAGTTGTTGAAACATCTGTAGTTGCTGGATTAGCCGTAGTTGTTGAAACATCTGTAGTTGCTGGATTAGCCGTAGTTGTTGAAATATCGGTAGTTGCTGGAACATCTGTAGCTGTTGCTGGGACAATTGTTTCTGAGCTTGCTGAAACTCTTGTGGTCTTTTCTTGAACAACCAACAGACCTGTAAGAGTGTCAGTCAGATTTACATTTTTTAAACTTTTTTTTCTTTTCAAATTCTGAGTAATCATTTGTTTCTGGTCTAAATCAATGTTCAAAAATGAAGTTGAAACAGACTGAAAGAGAAAAACAGAATGTGTAGTGCATTTAAAAATCAGTAATAAACTGAATAAGTTTCTTCAATATACTTAGCTCAAAAAATATGGAAATTAGTGTTTGATCGATCCTTTTTTTGTAGAACAAAGTTTCTTGGCAATAAATCTTATAGCAGGCACCTGATTGACGGCACCTGGAGGTACCAGAAGCTCCAAACATGAGTCAAWAACAACAGCAGAATAAGCTGTTTGGCAGAGAAGATTTGGCAAATTGTTCACACTCAGCTCCACCGCTCATCCCACAAATGCATGTTCCTTACAAATGCGGCACTATTAAATAGAGAAATTAACAGGATTTTCTAACAGTATATGATTTATTTGCCATGAAGCGTTATTACAGCAAAGAAATAATCTACCAAACACTAATGTTTTTACTTTTTGTGTAGTTTTTTTGTACTGAACAAAATAATTTTCTGATATCTATTGTTGGTCGACTTATTTTTCATTGTACAGTTAGACCGATTAGCTAATAAATAGACTTGATTATGTAGTCTTGCGATTCGTTTGCATAACGTTTATTTAGCTTTACATTCTGTGCTGTTTTTTTTTACGTCTGAAGTTATTTGAACAATATTTGAATTTACTGTAACAAATATTGCAACATATTAAACAAAAAAAACCCGTAAATTAGAAAAACTTGGTCTACAATCTCTTCAAGTGAAAAAAAACTTTTACAAGACATTTTAAAACCTAAAAATATGTTACCTGTTAGAATCACAAGAAGAGATACAATCCGTCCAAACTCCATCGTGGCAATATCTGAATCTGCAAAATGAAATAACAGAGACTTTTATCTACTGAGGTACTTTTAAAATGCTTTTACATTAATTAACAAATAGATTTTCTCTATATTTTAAAAGCTGTAGTTATTTTAATTACATGAAATCAACAACAAAGTAGAAATGATTCAGCGCTTAATTATAACACTGGCTTTGGTGAAACAGTTAACTTTTGGACTGAGAATTTAATTGTTTATTATTCACAAAAGTATCTTGGTGACTTTACTGAGACATATGCATCAGTTTAAACAAAGACAAAAACATGGACAAAAATTAAGAATGCCATATTATGCATTTATTTTTAATGCAATAATTTAAGAAAATCATTTCTCCAGAGTTTTAGACTAAAGGCCTTTAATGTTGAGAACCGGTAGAGTTGTAGCAATCCTAAAATATAACATTAAGTGGTCCTCATGCGACATTAGACGTCACCATGAGGGTATGCRTCTCTCAGCTGCAACCACACCAAATTTTAGCCCAGTGTTTGGAAAAAAGTTTAAATTGTACCAATTTTATGCTTTCCAAATATTAGGTTAAGGTGGCCATATAACACTGGGTTGGCTCCAAAGGGTAATCAGTTGTAGAGCTCTGACAAGTTAAAATTTTACGAAATAAAGAACAAATATAAAATACCTGTCGATGGTCCGTTTTCTGCCTCAGATGTGTTGCATCCTCTGTAACGTTGCCTCACAAAATGAAGAAGGAAGGTTTTCCTTATTTCTTGTTATCCAATTAAGACAAAATAAACATTTCTACTCACAGGCATTATTCAAATGACTTTCTAGTAAGTCAGACAGTGACATTTGAATATTAAATCTAGTGAAAAGGACATCATTTTGAATGTTTTGGTTTAACTGATTGAGAGTTTATAAATAAAATCTTTCCACTCTTTGGGATCTTTTAATAAAATAAGCCAATGTTATTTAGAAATGGGATTATTGTGGTGACAATACATGCAGCTACGCATTCAATTTCAGTGATATATAAGAGTTGTTGTGTATTTGGAAATAAAGGGAAATGGAAATCTTAAAAGTTGATGTTTTATTTACTTGTGCAAAAGAATGATTACACTTACAATTGAGAAATTTACAGAGCAATTAAATGTATTCAAGCAAAAATATCTTATAGTTGCAGCAGATCAATATATCATTGAAAGAATAATATATCTTTATTTTAAAAAATTGGTTTGGGATTGATTTTATTACTTAGTTGAGTATAATGGAAACAGGTGATTTAAATTGTTTTGCATTCCTATTTGAACTGATCAAAACTGTTCAGAGAAACAGCTCACCTTGAACCAGTCATTCACACAGATATTTTGTTTTGTATACCAATGGGTCTTAAGAAAGCTTCTAAAAAATAATAAGTACGAATTTATATAAAACTGTTTCAACAATGATTTGTTACCAGGGGTTTTGAAAGTAAATTATATCCACAAAAATTGTTTCTTTTGTATTTTTTAACCCCAGCTTCTGCTACAAATCAAATGCAGATATATTTTCACGTTAAAAATCAAATTAATGAAGATGTTTTGGTTTACAATAAGAACTAAATTCTCGTTCTAACCCGTTACAGCAAACATTTTCTAGTGACAACATAGATGTTACAGTTGCTGTGATAGTAACTATGACAAAAACACCATGCAGAAAAGAAGAATGAGAATTGTTTTGTGGTTTACTCCACTTGACCTCTCTGTAGAACTCTTGAATGAAGTCATTGTTGGAACAGCTGCTCCAGGAGCAGCTGTGGTTGTTGTTGGTGCAGCTGTGGTTGTTGTTGGTGCAGCTGTGGTTGTTGTTGGTGCAGATGTGGTTGTTGATGCAGCTGTGGTTGTTGTTGGTGATGCAGCTGAGGTTGTTGTTGGAGCAGCTGAGGTTGTTGTTGGTGAAGCTGTGGTTGATATTAATGCAGCTGTGGTTGTTGGTGCAGCTGTGGTTATTGTTGATGCAGCTGTGGATGTTGTTGGTGCAGCTGTGGTTGTTGATGCAGGTGTGGTTGTTGTTGGTACAGCTGTGGTTGTTGTTGGTGCAGCTGTGGTTGTTGATGCAGGTGTGGTTGTTGTTGGTACAGCTGTGGTTGTTGTTGGTGCAGCTGGTTGTTGTTGGTGCAGCTGTGGTTGATGTTAATGCAGCTGTGGTTGTTGATGCAGCTGTGGTTGTTGATGCAGCTGTGGTTGTTGTTGGTGCAGCTGTGGTTGATGTTAATGCAGCTGTAGTTGTTGTTGGTGCAGCTGTGGTTGTTGATGCAGCTGTGGTTGTTGTTGGTGCAGCTGTGGTTGATATTAATGCAGCTGTGGTTGTTGGTGCAGCTGTGGTTGTTGATGCAGCTGTGGTTGTTGTTGGTGCAGCTGTGGTTGTTGATGCAGCTATGGTTGTTGTTGGTGCAGCTGTGGTTGTTGATGCAGCTGTGGTTGTTGTTGGTGCAGATGTGGTTGTTGTTGATGCAGCTGTGGTTGTGGTTGATGCAGCTGTGGTTGTTGGTGCAGCTGTGGTTGGTGTTGATGCAGCTGTGGTTGTGGTTGATGCAGCTGTGGTTGTTGGTGGTGCAGCTGTGGTTGGTGTTGATGCAGCTGTGGTTGTGGTTGATGCAGCTGTGGTTGTTGTTGGTGCAGCTGTGGTTGGTGTTGATGCAGCTGTGGTTGTGGTTGATGCAGCTGTGGTTGGTGTTGATACAGCTGTGGTTGGTGTTGATGCAGCTGTGCTTGTGGTTGATGCAGCTATGGTTGTTGTTGATGCAGCTGTGGTTGTTGATGCAGCTGTGGTTGTGGTTGATGCAGCTATGGTTGTTGTTGATGCAGCTGTGATTGTTGTTGATGAAGCTGTGGTTCCTGTTGGTGCAGCTGTGGTTGTGGTTGTGGTGGGAGCAGCTGTGCTTGTGGTTGATCCAGCTGTGGTTGTTGATTCAAATGTGGTTGTGGTTGATGAAGCTGTGGTTGTTGTTGGTGCAGCTGTTGTTGTTGATGCGGCTGTGGTTGTTGTTGGTGCAGCTGTGGTTGTTGTTGGTGCGGCTGTGGTTGTGGTTGGTGCAGATGTGGTTGTTGTTGATGCAGCTGTGGTTGTTGTTGAGGCAGCTGTGGTTGTTGATGCAGCTGTGGTTGTTGTTGATGAAGCTGTGGTTGTGGTTGATGCAGCTGTGGTGATTGTTTTTATTACTGCTGTGGTTGTTGTTGTTGATGCAGCTGTGGTTGTTGTTGTTGCAGCTGTGGTTGTTGTTGATGCAGGTGTGGTTGTGTTTGATGCAGCTCTGGTTGTTTTTGAGGCAGCTGCGGTTGTTGATAGTGCAGCTGTGGTTGGTTTTAATGTAGCTGTGGTTGTTGGTGCCGCTGTGGTTATTATTGATGCAGCTGTGGTTGTTGTTGGTGCAACTGTTGTTGTTGGTGCAACTGTGGTTGTTGATTCAAATGTGGTCGTGGTTGTTGCAGATTTGTTGGGGGTTGATGCAGCTGAATTTGTAGTTGGGGCAGTTGTATTTGATATTGTTGGAATAGCTCTAGTTGTGGTAGGTGCAACTGTTGTTGGGGCAGCAGTTTCTGTAGTTGAAGCAGCAATGGGTGTTGATGTACCTTTTTGAGCAATAAGCATGCATTAGTTTTATTTACTGTGTTTCACAATGTTTACATTCATTGTTTAAACTTTAAACTGCTCTAAATACATTCTCTAAGTTTATCAGTGTTTCATACAGTAAATCATTTTAGATTTCCCAAGTATAATATTTTTGTCACTCTTATCCTTGTTTTTTAAATTGTTTTGACATTAATGTTTCTTCTGTCCTTTTACATTGTTTTTAATATTACAGTTGGTAATGATTGTTAAACAGCAACCTGAAATAAAATGTTGTTTTTTCTTTTTAATAATGTAAGCCACATTTATTTTACACAAAACAATTTTGAGTTTTAATGCTTTTATTTGAAAATCACATACATTACCTGATAGAATTACAAGAATTGGTATGATTTGTCCAAACTCCATTTTTTTTACATCTGCAAAATCAAATAACAGAGATGTTTTCACTGATGGTGTACATCAATCACTTTTACATTGCCACCATGTCAAGCATTAAATCCCCATTAGTTTGATGTGGATTGATTCACAATATATTTTTATGACCTTTTATACTTTACTTTCTAAAAAGCTGTTCTACGTATAATCCAGGCTTTCTAGTATTTCATGAGTACAACAAGAATCTTGTGCCAGCAGAAACTGAAATTGAATTGCTCAGATTGAATCTGTATGTTCATAATTTGAAATTGAATGCATTGGTTTGAAAATGAATTTCACTAAATTGAAACTTGAATTTAATGGTTTGAAACTGAATTAAAAAAATCTGAATTTGGATTAATTTGCTTTGAAACTGAATTTTGTATTTTATTTGTCCTCTCCCTGGGTTGCCACCTTCTCTTGGTGCAGAGGTTTGAGTGTCCCAATGATCCTAGGAGCTATGTTGTCTGGAGCTTCATGACCYCGGTAGGGTCACCGAAGGCAAACAGGTCCTATAGGTGAGGAATCAGACAGCCCAAAGACCCCTTATGACAAGTCACAACAATGGAGTCAGTGTTCCCTTGCCCAGACGCAGGTCACCAGGGCCCCACTCTGGAGCCAGGCCTGGAGGTGGGGCACATTGGCGAGCACCTGGTGGCCAGGCTTTCACCCAAGGAGCCTGGCTGGGTACAGCCTGAAGAGGAGACGTGTGTCCCCCTTCCCAAACTCGAAGATCGACTTTGTTGTTGTTTCATCTGATCTGCGGCTGCATGTTTTGGACACTCGGGTGAAGAGAGGTGCAGAGCTGTCAACTGACCACTACCTAGTAGAGAGTTGGATTTGATGGTGAGGGAGGATGCCGGTCAGACCTGGCAGACCCAAATGTATTGTGAAGGTCTGCTGGGAACGTCTGGGAGAGTCTCCTGTCAGACTGAGCTTCAACTCACACCTCTCACAATTTTTTCAATTTTCTCAACTCACACAATTTAGAT